ATCCTCGACGAGCCCACCACCGGCCTCGACCCCATCGGCACCCGCCAGATCAAGGACCTCATCCTCCACCTCGGCAAACGCGGCAAGACCATCCTCCTCTCGAGCCACCTCCTCTCCGACGTCGAGGACGTTGTCGACCGCATGGTCATCCTCTACGGCGGACGCATCCGCGCCGAGGGCACCTGCGACGAGCTGCTCACGAGCCACACAAAGAGCGTCATCGAGACCGACGCCCTCGACGAGCACACACGCAACGACATCCGGAACCTCCTCGAATCGCGCAACCGCCCCGTCGCGTTCTCGAGCCCGCGTCAGAAACTCGAGGAGCTCTTCCTCGACATCGTCCAGCGCGCCCAGCAGGAGCAGCTCGCCACGAGCGGCGCCTCGCACGGCGGCGCCACCGCCTCGTTCCTCGTGAGCGACGCCGAAGAGAAGGCCTCCGGCGACGCGCTCATCGAGTCGCTCACCCGCGACACCCCCGCGCCGAAGCCCTCGCAGAGCGAGCCCGCCCCGAGCGAGCCCGACGAGCGGGAACACGATGCCGGCGCCGTCATCGAGGACCTCGTCTCCAGCGAGCCGGAACACGACGTCCCGACCATGCGTCACACCGAAGACGCGCCCCAGACCGACCAGCCCGGCGACGTCGACGAGAGCATCATCAGCTCCCTCCTCGACAACGACGACGAGAAGAAAGGCGACGGAGGCCGACCGTGAAGCTCGGCGAACGCATCGCGAAGCTCGACCACCTCCAGCGGACCGCGCGGTTCAAGGTCATCGCCAGCGCCGCCGTCGGCTTCCTGCTGATCGCGGGCTTCATCGCGCTCGTCGTCACCGCCAACGACCCCGAGCTGGGCGACCGCATCGCGGAGGCCGCGAGCGCCGAGGGCAGCATCTACGACAAGCCCTCGTTCTTCGAGGTCGGCCCGCTCGGTTCGTTCATCAAACTCGCGAAGACCTCCGTCCTCGCCGCGCAGACGGACGGCGGCATCCTCACCGTCGCGCTCACCTTCGCCGGCGTCGGCGTCGGGCTCGGCTTCCTCATCTGGCTCGGCTACAGCATCTCCGCCCTCGCCGTCGCGACCATCGGCTGGGGCCTCGCGTGGCTGCTCTCGTTCGCCGACGCGACCCAGGGCCTCGCCTCGATGATCACCGCCGCGGTGCCCCTGATCATCACCTTCGGCGTCGGCATGCGCGCCGCCAGCGCCGCGCTCTCGGGCCCCTGGCCCTGGGCCGCGATCGCACGCAACGTCATGAGCGAAGCCGTCCGCATGAAGATCTCCTTCGTCTTCATCGTCATGCTCATCATCGTCCTCGCCCTCACGCCATCGCTCCTCTCCGAGGACCAGCCCCTGCGCTACCGCGTCCAGCAGTGGCTCCAGTACGGCACCGGCCTCTCCTACGGCGTCCTCGCCCTCCTCACGCTCTTCCTCTCCGTCGCCTCCGTCACCTACGAGCAGCGCGACCGCGTCATCTGGCAGACCGTCACCAAGCCCATCCCGCGCTGGCAGTACATCCTCGGCAAGTGGACCGGCGTCATGGTCCTCAACGCCGTGCTCCTCTCCGTCACCGCCTTCGGCGTCTACCTCTTCACCGAGTACCTCCGCTACCTGCCCGCCAACGGCGAGGCCGCGTACCTCGAGCCCAAGGTCGAACCCGGCGAGAACCCCGACCTCAGCCGGATGGTCGAAGACCGACGCATCCTCGAGGAGCAGGTCCTGGTCGCACGCGTCTCCCGCGGCATCGAGCCGCTCCAGCCCAACGAAGCCCGCTACGACGAGCTCGTCCGCGACCGCATCGAGGCCGAAAAACAACGGGACTCCGACTTCCAGGACACCATCGCCGAGCGCCGCCGCATCCGCGAAGAGATCCGCCAGCAGTGGGTCGATGATCTCAACAGCGCGATCGATACACGCATCCAGAGACTCGAGGCCGACGCCGTCGTCGTCCCCAACACCACCAACGCACGGCTGAAGATCGCCGCCGAGATCATCGAAAAATTCGAGACCGAGTACCGCACCATCCCGCCGGGCGGCACCCAGGTCTACCGCGTCCGGGGACTCGAGGATTTCCACGCCAAGGTCGTCGACTACTACAGGAAAGTCGACGCGGCCGAAGACCTCTTCCTCCCGGAAATCAACCGCAGGATCGACGAGGCGCTCGCCGATCCCAGGAACGCCTTCACCGAGGACGCGCTGAGCTTCAGGATCACCAACACGGTCAAAAACGAGTGGGAGCGCGAGGGCCGCCTCCCAACCGAGCCGAAGCTCATGCTCCGGTACAAGGTCAACTCCGGCTCCAACGACCCCGCCGCGATCTACCAGCTCACCTTTGCGTTCCGCGGCTTCCTGCCCAACGAGCGGCAGGTCTCGCTCGAGGCCCCGCAGGTCATGAACATCCCCATCGGCGCCGTCGAGGCCGACGGGACGCTCTCCATCCAGATCTTCAACGGCTCGCTCCGCCCCGACGGCATCGTCGGCAACCCCGGGTCGATCCACTTCGAGCCCGACGGCATCGAGGTCATGTACGCCGCGGGCGGGTACGAGCTGAACTTCGTCCGCATCATGGGCGTGATCTTCGTGAAGCTCGGATTCATCGCCGCGGTCGGCATCGCCGTCTCGACGTTCCTGAGCTTCCCCGTCGCGTGCCTCGTGGCCCTCGCCATCTTCTTCATGGCCGAGAGCTCGGGCTTCCTGGGCGAATCGCTGCAGTACTTCAGCACGGAGAACTACGAGGAGACCGGCCACAACTACTTCAAGGTCGCCGCCCGCGCGATCTCCATCCCCGTCGCCTGGCTCTTCAGCGCTTTCTCCGAGCTCAAGCCCACCTCCCGCCTCGTCGACGGACTGCTCGTGAGCTGGTCGCTCTTCTTCCGCGCCGTCGCCGTCGTCGGCGCCTGGTCGCTCATCACGCTCACACTCGGCTGGCTCATTTTCCGCAAACGCGAGCTCGCCACTTACTCGGGCCACTGATCCTAGGATTCCCCATGCTCGATCGCGGCACGATCATCCAGCTCGTCTCCATCGCCGTGCTGTCGCTCTGCCTCGCCGCATCGGGCGTGATGAGCACCATGCTCACCGCCGAGGCCGGCCGCGCCCAGCTCGTCTACACCGACGAGGCCGAGGAGGGCGACCCGCCGGAGGTCGCGCTGGGCATCGCGCTGGGCGCCTTCCGCGGGCTCTTCGTGAACTACCTCTGGATCCGCGCCAACCGGCTCAAGCAGGAGGGCAAGTTCTACGAGGCCATCGAGCTGAGCCAGACCATCACCCGACTCCAGCCGCGATTCCCACGCGTGTGGATCTTCCACGCGTGGAACATGTCCTACAACATCTCCGTCGCCACCAACACCGATTCCGAACGCTGGCAGTGGGTCAAGGCGGGCGTCGACCTGCTGCGCTCCGAGGCCATCCCGCGCAACCCCAACAACGTCCTGCTCCACAAGGAACTCGCCTGGATCTTCGTCCACAAAATCCAGGGCTGGTCCGACGACGCGAACCACTACTACAAACGGATGCACGCCCGCGAGTGGCAGATCGTCCTGGGCACACCGCCCTCGAGGCCGCCCACCGCCCAGTTCGTCGACATGCGCGACGAGTACGCGAACTGGCTCCGCCCCGTCCTCGAGGCCCCCGAAACCGTCGACGGCGTCGTCGCCCGCGAGCTCGCCGACCTCGAGGACGCCGGCGAGAACAACCCGTCCTCGCGCGTCCGCGAGCTCGTCTCCGCACTCCGAAACCGCGCCAACCTCGGCCTCGACGAGGACCTCCTCCGGCTCTACGAGATCCGCAAGGCCTACCGCACCGCCTGGTGGACCGACGGCGGCACGCTCCCCCTCGCCGAGGAGAACCGCAACGCCGCCCTCGACGAGCTCCTCGCCGACGAGCGCCTCGCGGACGCCTGGGAACGACTCATCCCCCACGTGCGCCGGCGCGTCCTCCTCGACGAGTACAACATGGAGCCGGCGCGCATGATCGACTACACCCAGCGCTTCGGCCCCCTCGACTGGCGCCACCCCGCGACCCACTCCCTCTACTGGTCCGTCCGGGGCGTCGAAGAGGCCGCCGAACGCACCATCCGGGACGACTTCAACTCCGTCAACACCGACCGCACCGCCATCCACTCCATCCAGGAGCTCTGGCGCACCGGCGACGTGGAATACAACATCCTCTCGGGCGAGTACTTCTCCCTGCCCAACTACGCCTACACCGACACCTACGGCGAATACGTCGAGCTCCTCCAGGAGCGCGCGGGCATCGCCGAAGAGGAGTACCGCATCTTCCGTCTCTACTCCGAGGGACGCGAGAACTTCCTGCAGGACGTCATCCGCGTCTTCTTCCGACGCGGCTGGTACGACCTCGCCGAGAAATACCACGCCGAGCTGCGCAACGCCGACTGGATCAACCTGAACGATTCCGCCGGACGCTACGAGTACACCGACAGCCTCGAGGAATTCGTGCTGCGACAGATGGAGCAGGACCGCATCAACGTCCCGCACGTCGCCATCACCGAGATCGAGTCCGCCCTCTACGAGGCCTTCCTCAGCGGCCTCTACCGAGGGAACCAGGAGCTCTTCCGCAACTCCCTCCGCTACGCCCTCACCGCGTGGACCGAGTTCACCGAGGAGCAGGCCATGACGCGCACCACCGCCGCGCTCGAGCAGCGAATGGTCGAGTACGTCGGCGAGAATTTCTCGGTCATGCTCAACCGCGTCCTCATCCGGCTCCTCCTGGGCGACGTCTTCGCCGTCTCCGGGCCCACCAAGGCGACGCAGGACTCCGCGCGGCCCACCAACATCGGCCCGAGCACCGCCGGCGAGCTCTGGCGCAAGCTCCCCACCGACTTCCAGCTCTCCGTCTACGACCTGCTCCTCAACGCCGCCCGCGTCCGGGGCAACATCTCGCCCGCCCAGTTCGCCCAGATCTTCCCCGCCCCGGAGGGCATCGAGGAGTTCCGCGAACGCCTCGAATCCGCCAGCGAAAAGAGCGACCGCGCCATCCGACGCCAGCTCCAGTTCGAGAAGCAGTAGACCCCGCCAACCTCGCTACCATGACCCCTATGGAGCTCATCAGACATCCCGGCGGGGTCGCCCTGCGCCGCGACAGCGGCGACACGGCCCCCGTCGGCCTCATCCTCGCCATCGGCCGCAACTACGCCGACCACGCCGCCGAGATGGGCGCCGCGCCCCCCGAGCGCCCCATGGTCTTCACCAAGCACCCCGGCAGCGCCTGCCTGAGCGGCGAGGACATCGTCATCCCCGCCATCTGCGCCAACGAGGAACAGGTCGATTACGAGGGCGAGCTCGCCGTCGTGATCGGCAAGGCCGTCCGCGACGTCTCCGAGGCCGAGGCCGCTGACCCCGCATCGGGCGTCATCGCCGGCTACACCGTCGCCAACGACGTCTCCGCTCGCTGGTGGCAGAAGCAGGGCGCCGGAGGCCAGTTCACGCGGGGAAAAAGCTTCGACACCTTCTGCCCCCTGAGCCCGAAGGTCGCCCCCGCGAGCGAAGTGGGGGACCCATCGAAGCTCACGCTCACCACGACCGTCTCGGGCGAACGCATGCAGCACGCGAGCACCGGCGCGATGACCTTCCAGCCCGCCTTCCTCGTCGCCGAACTGAGCAGAGGCACGACCCTCCCCGCCGGCACGCTCATCCTGACGGGCACCCCGAGCGGCGTCGGCGCCTCGCGCACACCCCCGCGCTTCCTCCGCGACGGCGACACCGTCGAGATCACCATCGGAACCGAACGCGACCCCGAACTCGTGGGTCGCTTAGTCAACGCCGTGCGCGATGAGCGCGCCAAGGGATCGTCATGAGCCAGCAGACCGCAAGCACACTCACCGGGACCCAGGTCCGCCAGCAGTTCATCGCCTTCTTCGAGCAGCGTGCGCACCACAAGTTCGTCCCCTCCTCCCCCGTCGCCCCGCTCGACGACCCCACCCTCCTGTTCACCAACGCGGGCATGAACCAGTTCAAGCCCATCTTCCTGGGCCAGCTCTCCCCCGGCTCCCCGCTCGCCGGCGTCACACGCGCCGTCAACTCCCAGAAGTGCATCCGCGCCGGCGGCAAGCACAACGACCTCGAC